ACCAGTAACATCAACATCAACACTACATTCAACATCATGTGTTCATCAACATCTCAATATAAACATCATTCTGGAAATGGATAGTTCAACTCACAATTAACTCAATGGAATGGACAGAGATCTTGAAAGCTCTAGCACACAATTAAATTGGGGACATTGCCATAAGAACATAACTACTAGTTCAAAAATTATCACATAACTTGGACATAACTACTCATCACAAAATTTCCTTTATCTTCCTAATTTTTGCCATGCTCCCCATCTTTCTCTTTAAGAAAGCATGCAACCATGTACTCAAGTGTTTTCTTCTCAACAGTCTATCACTGTCCCGCTCTCTGCCTTGATCCTCGTCACTTTGCGAAAATTTGAAGTTGCCCCATCCAGAACTCTCTTATGCTCCAATCATGCCCTTACCTCAATCAAGCATGTTCTGCTTTAGTCTTTAGAGCTAGTGTCACTTGATTCTCCTCCACAACTTTCTTAAGTTCATCTTGCACATTCCTATGCTCAACCTGAAGCTTTCTTCTCCCATTAGATAACTCAAACTTTTCTTCAAGATGCTCAAGACTATCCCTAACTCTACATACTTTCTCACTTTCATACATGTCCCTAGTTGGTCGGTGCTTTCTTTAGTGTTCGTGGCCACTCTAAATCAACTCGTTGAATAAAATCACAACTTTCTCCTTCCTACAAATTAATAGAACAACATCTAGTTAACACAATTGATTGCATAAATTCCTACAACCTCGGACCAACATCACCTACATTGCCTATTCTGAACAAAACATAGTTCGTTCTCTAAGTATGGATGGATGAATGAATAATCAGTGGTCAAAATTCATAAAACTATAGAAATGGACAACTGATAACAAATAAATTCCTACTAGCTACACAACATTGTCTAACTGAAAAACACTAATTAACACAAAATACATTGTCTGGCTGAAGAATATTTAGTGGCCAAAGTAATTCATGAAATTGCCTTCTCTCTAAATGAACAGATCAACTGCATACACACCATGAACATGTCCTGCACATCCCAAAAACCTCCTGCATCTGTGCCATCCACAAAAAATGAAGACATGCATGGTATTGGGGATCTAACAAATCACAATTATGAAGCAAACTAGATGAAATTTAAAATCCCCAAATCACAACTACCCTTAACCCTAGAAATTAGAAATCAAATACTCACATCGCTACAATTCCGACCTATCCCCCATGAACCCAGGCAATTTTTCTGTTACTGAAATGAGTAGAGCGCCTGATTTTTCTGTTAAAAAGGAGCAGAAATAATTGACCAGTACGCTTGCATTAAAGCACAAGAGACACGGCACGGGTGCCGACTGCCGAGACATCATAATCCCCAGGAAGGCAGAACCTAAGCGACTGCCTCACCGACCACCTTCAGCTCCTCAACAGCACAAGTATTGATCCACAAAATGGGCCAGATAACCAATAATGCATTTGCTGCGAATGTTCAAGCCATTGTACACGACTGGCACAGTTCCCAGTCAAGAAGCATGGTACATTTGTCCAATGATGCAACATTTTCTGTCAAAAAAAGGAATGTGGTGCACGTTCAACATAGCAACCAAGCCAGCACTCCAGCGACGGCTGGTCTCGAGTGATGTGGAACGAACACTGCCTCTCCATGGAGGAGCCCCCTTCAAAATCCGTAAGGCTTGAATTTCCTTTGAGCCCGCAGCTGCTGTATCCTCTTCTTGTCCTGCTCGAACTTGCTCTGCAGCATCGCCAGCTCTGCACAACAAATACAGGTAAGTAGCTCTCCTAGCAGTTATCTGTGGCCACACTCAAGTTGCATAAAAATGCACCGAACAGAAAGTCACAAGACTGCCATGGCAAACTACAGCGCTGAACATAGTCTACATTCTAATGCATCATACATGTACTGAGCATTAGGAGTAATTAAAGTTAAACTGCACCAATGGTTAAATAGGGAATCCATAAAAATGCTTTTTGACATACCACTCATTTGAGCTTCTCGTTTCTGATGTCTGTAGAAGTTCCGACCAACTTCCTTGGGTTTCTTCTGAGCCATTTTCTCTTGCATTGCAGCCAGAGATACAGAGCCAACCGCTGTTCCAGTTTCAGCATCTGTAGTCTTCTTCCGACCCTTATGATGCATCACCACTGTCCACCCATCTTCTGCAGCTGCTGCCTCTCTTTCCTTCTTCTCCTGAATTAATCAAATAGGTACCACATGACAAAACAACAATGATGCAGTTGCTATGCCAAAACAAACATAGGGGAAATTCTTCCTGTAATAAATAACTTGTCTCAACTTGCAAAATAACTTCAGATATTCAATGAATATTTACGGAACAAGCTAGCTATAAATCAGGACAGTTGACTTCAGATTCTTGAATGTTCAATGAATGGAAAATACGCACCCGCTCTTGTTGTTCCTCATGTGCAGTTATAAACACATCTATATTTTGCTGCAAGACTTTCAAGCCTGGCCGCTTCTGTCTGTACTCCAAGATCCATTCTGACAAGACACCAGTCACACCACATATCAGTATTTGCCATTTTGGACTTTGGTGGATCAATTTGCAGGTTCCAGTATAAAAAGGAAAGATACATAAACACTGTGGAACTCATTTGAGCACAATATCAACTAATAAGGGCCCTTACAGTCCGCACTGCATATGATTAACAGTTAGGCTGATTGTAACAAGCTAGACTTATAGATCTGTAAGTTTCATGATGAAATTAGCTCGCATGAATCTTTTGATTTAAACAAGTCTAAGAAATGATATTCCTTGGAAGTGTATTTGGACACAATACATTCTGTCCTTTTCATTGTGGACACTAGACAGTGGGTCTTTATATATGCTAGTGAAATACATCTTTTCGGCAACAAAAAACCAGAAGTGTAGACATTACTTTTCATTCCTCTGGAACAGTCTTCATCGACTGATGCAATCTCAGCAACATTTGCGGTATCAACTTCATGCACCTCCAAATTGTCCTCTCTAACTGATACCTGCATATCTGTCCTGTTGACTTCCCCAGATTGCTTTACTTTCTCTGCGTCCAATGAAAAGAATGCATGTCAGGAAACACAAATATTTATGCAATAGAGAGCTGATAATTGAGAAAAACTTTGTTTAGGATAAAAGTACAGCAGCCTACTTGTCTTATTTTTCTTTCGTTTCTTTGCCTTTTCTGGTTCCCCAATGTCCATAACTCCACTCTCTGCTGCAACTTGGTTGACATCAGCTGCATAAATTATATGTACATCTACTGTTAGTGAAACAAAAATATTTATGCAACAGATAGCTGGTAATTGAGAAAAACTTTGTTTAGGATACAAGTACAGCAGCCTACCTGTCTTTTTTTTCTTTCGTTTCTTTGCCTTTTCTGGTTCCCCAATATCCATAACTTCACTCTCTGCTGGAAGTTGGTTGACATCAGCTGCATAAAATATATATGCACATCTATTATTAGTGAAAAGAAAATTTCAGGAATTACTATTTACCGATAAAAAAAAGGAAAAGGCCATAGTTGCTTGCACAGATGAAAAACTATTTGTCAAGAATAAATGTGAAAAATATCAACATTACTCATCATGATTGAAAGGTAGCACAGCAGACAAAGTGGCAACTCAGAAGCAATCTTACCGTTTAGAGTTTCTTCATCGAGATTTTCATGCAGGATATCATCTGCATCATTGGGCTCAACAGAGCTCTTCCCTTCCTTCACCTTCCTTTTCTTCTTCTTCAGCTTAAGTGTTCCAGCATCATTACTGTCCAATGGACTTTGTACCTCAACAGGACTTTTGCTTTCCTTTAGCTGTTTTTTGCTCTTCTTCTTCTTCAGCTTAGGTGTTGCCTCATCCTCATTGAGAGTCACCAAATTATGAGCCTTGGTACAACAGCTTGTTACTTTGGCATGCTTAATTTTCTTCTTTTGCTTCACCAATACAATCTTCTTGCTTCCTATATGTAAGAAGCAACGATAAGAGATAAACCATTATACTACAAGACATAGTTCCATTTCACGCTTTGACAATAGTTGTCAGTCATAAGTAGGGCCTAATAAACAACTCAAAGAGCTGGAACCAAAAAATTAACAAGCGCTCAGGAAATGAGACGGAACTCAAGCTATTTTGCCGTGCACATGAGACACCGATGAGTTCGAAGGTTATCAGAATGTCTTTTCTGTCATACCATTCTACGTTTCTACAACCGTGATTGACGATGTACCACTGGATCATTCTCTTACCCTTTGCTGGGGCGATGAATGGACATTTTTAAGCATACAAACTTCACTCTAGGATGGGCTTAACCCATAATTATCCAAAACAAAATGGCAGGGATTGCGAATACCTTCCGCGATAGCATGTCCGGCAGCGCCCTCGCTCTCAACGGCAGCATCTAAAACTCTATCCTTCTTCTTCTTCAGCTGCTTCCTCTTCACTCCAAGCCCAAGCGCCAGCTTCTTATCAACCTTGGCTTCCCGCGAGGCCTTCTTGTCTACAAAGCAGCGCATTTTTTTTACTTTCGCCTCACAAATTCGAACTGATTCAATCGAGAAGCAACAGGGTGCGTGCATAAAGGGGAAAGTTTCCGCACCTTTGGATTTGCCCATGCCGAGAACAAATCAGCAACGAAGCGTCCACGAGGAGGAACACGAAGAGAATCGGTGGAGAATAAGCCCTCGTCGGCGTCGGGCGGAGGCGCCGGCGGCGGCTGCTGGGTGTCGGCGTCCGGGAGGCGGGAGCTGCGAGGCGCGGTAGGGTTTGGGCGTCTCAATGGGGTTTCTTTCTACCGGGCTCAACTGCCCACGAGCATTCTGACAGGTGGGCCTAATTTGTTTCCGGGCCCGCATTCCAGTGGAAACACCTCCAAAGGCCCAAAGCCCCTTTTAATAGCGAGCGGCTTCGCGTGCCGAGTCCTAAAACCCTAGCTCCACCACCCACCTAAACCCGCGAAGTCACCAAGGCGGCGGCGGCGGCGGCAGCAGCAGCGGCGATGGGGAGCGACACGGAGACGGAGAAGAAGAAGACCCCGGTGGCGCTGGCCCCCATCGCCAAGCCGCTCGCCGGCAAGAAGCTCTCCAAGAAAACCCTCAAGCTCGTTCGCCGAGGTTCGTGTGATTGTCCCCGTTCCCTTTTTTGGCCCAAATCAAGCTTTCCTGGGTTCATTCATGATGTGGTTGTTGTCCGCGTGTTTGCCAGCCTCGGAGGCCAAGTGCCTGAAGCGCGGGGTCAAGGAGGTGGTCAAGAGCATCCGTCGTGGGAGCAAAGGGTTGGTATTTCCAGCTCTACTCGTTTACTGTATAGTCCCTGCTGGTAGGAGTAATTAGTACTCCTCTGTAAAGAAATATAAGAGCGTTTAGGTCACCACTTTAGTGATCTAAACCTCTTATATTTCTTTAGATGCAGTACACTGTAGTATGGTATTGTCCTAGAGAGCTCTGGGCTTAATTCCTCTGTCAGAACTTGTTGCTAAGTGTGGTGCGGGTGATACTTGGTAATAGCAATCAACCAAGGGCAGATAACTCTTCCCTGAAACATGTCGTGCATTTATTTGACTTGCTTGCAAGTTGTGTCTAGTAGTGTAGTGCATATGTCATGGAAAAGAATTCTATGAGACCAGGTCTCACGCGAGACCCATCCTGCTGAATGACACGTGGCATTCACAAATCACAAAGCATCCCCCACCCCCCACTTAAAATCAGGGGGTGGGGGGGGAGATTAGATGCTTTGT